GATATATATTTACCTGGAAATATATATAGATAGGTATTTTAAATATATAATCATTCAGATCAGCTTCTTTTAATGAAAATTGAAAGAAGCCCATATCCTGCGACTAAATAGTATTCCCATGTGCTGTAAAGTATTCTGCTAGTACTTTTTAAGATCCCATCTCAGGTAAGCAACCTGCCACATTTCCTGCAAAGTAAAACTAAAATTAACTTGCAAATGTGCTTATTCTGAAATAATGGAAGAAAACTTCCAAACAGGATTCCTTGTTTTGGAAACTCAGTTCCTCCCCTTTGATATTAGCAACCTTAACTTTGTGGCCCCGCTGGCACGCTGCCCTCTATTGTCCTGGCTCCCTGGTGCAGGGGAACTGGGAGATGGCCGCAGCGATGCTGTTGGTGGCGTTCATGCCTTGCTGATGCTCACACTGCTCTCGAGGTGCAAATGGGAAGTTGCAGGAGCCTGTTTCACATTGAACACTAAGGGCTTGTCAAAGGTCCCAAGTTAAAACTTGCACTCCATTTCATCTGGGCTACTTACTCTGAATACGCAAATAGGCCGAAAGCCGTTTGTCCCCACGCAATCTCCTTTGTCAGGGACCTACTGGGAGCAGTAGGGAGGAAGTTAATCCTCCTCCATTACCTGCCTGGTGACAGATGCAGATAACCGCGAGTTCCCCTTGAGCAGGTCCCCCCGCTGTACTTTACCTAGCCTTGGCGCACAGCTATCAAAGAGCTCTCTGGGAAACACACTCAGCCAAGTCATCCAAGGACTTCCTAGTCTATCCACACACATTTCTAGCTCTGTTCCCGACATGGGCAGGTACCTAAGCCAGTATGATTGTAGCAGGAGCTATCAGAGTTTAAACTTACGTTGCTGCTTTACTGGTTATACTGGAGGGGATCAGCTTGCGAGGACTGCACTGTCCCCTCCGAGTCTGCACACCAGTGCTCTGGGCAGAACTCTGAAAACGCAGCCTCAGGAGGAGTTCATCAACTTTCTGGCTCCCAGCCTAGCACATATAGGAAGTGGCTAAATATGTCATTCCTTAAGTAATGGAAAAGCTAATTATTACAGTGAAAGAGTGAAACTGCTGCCCCTTGCATAGGACAACGAGTTGTGTTCCTTATGTAAGAGCTCAGGAAATGGAGTTAGAACCATTCTGTTTTTCTGTCTCTTTAACTTAAAAACACAGGAAATGAGATTTATTTTGTTTAGCCCGAAGGAATTTTGGACTCTGCTTCCATTTTGTAACGAGGCGAGACAAGCACAGCGTTTGGGCAAATGCCAGAAAACAATTTTGAATTATTTTGTTTCATTTTCAGTACTTACAGTCTTTTCTAGAGGAACACTCATCTGGACCAAAACTAGAGAACATGTAAAATGTTAATTTCTGCTTCAGTTTCGCAAAGTGTATGTTATTCACAAAAAGGAGTTGGAGATTCCCACTGAAGTTTCATCCTTGGCCTCCTCAGTGCTACAGGGATCAAACAGCCCTCCCTTGGGAGCTCACAGGTAGGCAAGTGGCTGTGTTCAGGGCAAGTGACAGCCTAGCTGCAATTCCATGCATCTTGGCTCCAACTGCACATTTATGTCCTACTTGAAAGAGAAAAGACACTGGTGCAACTGCAGCCGTAAGGTTGTCCTGCAGAACATGGCTTGCGCCACACCGAACGCAAGGTCTGGGTAGCAGAATGTGGAAATCATTGTGGCTCGTGTTTGCTGTGGAGTGCGTTTTTCTCAGATAGAGTCCAGCTCCCTCTCCTGCCACACCTGCCACTCTGGACTGGGAGCCAGCTAACAGGAACAGCTCAGTAAGCTCGGGCTTAAATTCGGCTTTGGGCTTCTAAATAAGGCCCTTTCTGGATCCAGCTCTAGTTCTTCGATCTTTTACCTCAGAGAATTGCACAGAATAATTAGTTGGATTTTCTTAATTATGTTTGGATAAAATTTGTAGGATAACAAGTCAGGCTCCACAGTAATAATAATAATAGAACGAATATGAGGAATTACATTTCCTGTGAAACTTCAAGCTGAAGGTTGTTGGTAGGGACAACAGTAATGGACAAGAAGCACCACTTTATTCCACATAGTGTATGAATAGTAATAGCTCTACTAAAAAATAAGCATTTGGCACACAAAGCAGGTGAGAAGGCATGAGAAGACAGAGACATTTCACCCAGCAGTGTAGGAATCTATCAGTTCATCCTCAGAGAATAGGTGTGGAATAAGAGGAAGGAAACAAACTAACAGTGCCATTATGGGTCATAAAAGAAGCATCTGGTAAAAGCTGTCCACAGAAGTGAGCAGATCATTTCTGTTGAAACTAACACTGCCCAAGTGACAGCAGTAAAGCAGCACTGTGATTAATGATGAACGCAGAGGTTGCACATGTTTTTAAATACTAGTATGTCTCGCCTAAGCAGTTTAAGCATTTCTAATAAGCCTATTGTCCTTACATTAACTAGTTATCAGTGCTATTGAAAAAAATAGTGAAGATCAAGCACTATTTCAGGTTGACACATTCTCTAACAAGCCCTCTATGCTCTAAGCTGCTAATAAAAATTCACATGAACACCTGCACTACTGAAACAGTGCAAGGTGCACGTTTTTCTGACAGCAAGCTTCAGGTTTTCTTTGGGTGCTGAGTCTCAGGGAAAATACAGTGAGCTCTGCAAGGTGACACAGTCTCCTGGGAGGTGCCAAGCAGGCTGAACACCTACTATTACTTAAATTTGGATGTGCTACATGCTCTAGGTGACCCTGGGTGTGCAGGGGGGTTGGACTAGATGATCTCTAAAGGTCCCTTCCAACCTCAGGGATTCTACAGTTCTGTGGTTCTGTGATAGGGCCAGGTTCCTGGGTGCTGAGCCAGTACAGAGCTAGGAACACTGAAAAACATCTAAACAGTTACACTGACTGATCCTCTAAGCTTTCCTGGGGCAAACAGCAGGTACAGAAGTATGTTATTTCTCTGCAGCTATCTGTGCTCCGCAAGTATAGGGATTTTTCCAAGATAGTAAGTACACAGCAGATGCATATTTTAACATGCAATAGTAAACAACTAAAAGGGATTGGAGGTTTTTTCAAACATAGTCTTATAGAGCTGCAGGTTTTCTTCTTTGCTGTCAAAAATCAGAAACCTAACATGATCAAGTGTATGATCAAGCACTTCCCTGGATCTTAACTAGAAAATTTAATGCTGCAAAAGACTAAGTATTATTCTACCAATGTGAACATGCATATAAAAACTGGAGTAAAACTTTCTACTACTAGTGTCCTACTGAATGTCAAACAGGCAATAGCATGTTATTCAAAATCATACCTTTCTTACACTAAACAGTGTTTTAGTTAATTTAAAAAGCTGAACTCAAAAAAATAGAAAAAAAAAAAGTTTTACAGCAATCCTCAAGCAAAAATTCTAAAAATGGCGGTGATTAAAAAGAGAGAGATAAAATCACAATGTACAGACCCTCTAGAAAAGTAATGTTTTCCTGAATTTCCTGCTGAAAAGTAAACTAGCAGCAGTATTCCTATATGAATTGGTATTCTTTGGTATATGGTACCTGTTGCTAGCATAATGAGTCCAGAGGAAAAAAAAAAAAAGCTCAAAAGAAACTCACTATCACAGGAAACAAACAAACCAATAAGGGTATTTTGGAGGATTGTACAATATTTCTTTCATTTTCTTCTCTGGAGATCTTCCAAACCCGCTTGGACACAGCCCTGTGCCACATGCTCTGGGGGGTTGGACTAGATGACCTCTAGGGGTCCCTTCCAACCTTAAGGATTCTATGATTCTATGATATGATTCCTATTTTTAATAGCACAAGATATTAACATTTAAATTTCACCAGAAGTTTAATTAGGTGAAGTAGAAGGTAGGAAAGGGAAGCACTATTCCCTTCCCCTCAGCATGACCCAGGTCAATGTTCACCCCAAGTCCTTTTCAGGAGCAGTTGTATTACTTCAGCACCTTCCTTCCCTTCCTTCCTACCATCTACACTGTGGCTGCAGGAAGAGTAAGAAAGAAAAACATGCCCAACTGGTCAGTAAGCAACAGCCGTTTCTAGCAGATGAGCAAGATGTGATTCATCTGACAGAAGGCAGGCATTTACATCTGAACCGCTCAGCACCATGAATTAATGGCCAGTGAGAAGAGGGAAAGGAACACGTTTCTATGGCGTAGTTCTAAAATAAACTGAAATAGGTCAGATTTGTGCTTGTCTGTTTCTAAACTTGAAGGTAAAGTTCCCAATTTCTCTCTACTGATGATGAAATCCATGCAAAGGGACACAATCAGATGCAGACATCTAAATGGAAACATGATGAGCCCTTCATACAGTGATATAAAGTCATACCATGCTTTGCTTTCTTCATTGAGATGAATTGAGCACAGATGCATTCCTCTGCTCCTTAGTATTTAGAAACATATTTACACGAAAAGTGATTTTAACATGGACCTACTTATTAATTCCATATATTAAGACAATCCAAGGAATGAACGGCAGAAACTCACACATGAAGAGCAATTAGCTTGAAACTGGACCTGAATAAGACAGAATTTCTGCAAACAGCCACGTTAACAGATAAACAGGTCAAGCACTCTGGGCTAAGCCATCACAGAATATCTCCCAGAATGTCTCCTGGGAACTCAGAAGCAGCACTCCTGACTGCATGGAGCAGGCAGGCGGGTCCACCATGTCTCAGCCCGCAGCCCACCCTTCATGCAAGGCCAACACAGAGACAAACTTTATCCTGAGAGCAGGCATATCAGGACAGATCTGAGATGCGAATTCACATGAAGACAACAAGCTTTATATCTAAACAGAAAGTATGTTTTAAGAAATGAATAGATAGTAATGTGTTTAAAATAAGTTTTTTTTAAAAAAAAAAAAAACACACATGCACACACAGCAACCAAACAAGAAAAAGAAAGAACCGCTACATTATATAGCAAATCTTTTTACATGACAGTTTCTCTCTTTCCCAACAACAGAATCTGGAAAAATGAATTATGCATGACAAGTACTACTGACATTACATGATGTACTATGAAAAGAGTTCAGTGAGGAAGAAGAAAATAAATACTTCTATGGAACCACGGTAGTGACGTGTAAATAGATGTAGAGAAGCACATTAAAATTCGTTCACATATTGTACTTCTCTTTGTGAAAATCTGGCTCTTTAGATTAATAAAGGTCAGAAATTAACTAGCATATCTAGAAAGTTTAAAATTTCAATCTGTCACTTACACAGAAGGCACTGTAAGTATAAACTGTTAAATATGTAAATATAACCTTTATACCAGACTATTTAACTTAAACTTTTCAATGTGTTTTATAAGCAGTAACAACTCTGTACTACTCTGCCTCATAAAAATTAGAATACTAGCAAATAAGATCTTTGAAATGTCAAGTATTATGAAGCAGTCATAAGTCTTTTTGAAAGGCAAGAGCAAAAACACTTTGCCAGCACATGATCAGTTGGTTCTGAGAAGATAGGAGCCTCTACATTTATCTTTTTGTTTCTACATTATTCAATGCTTTAACATAACATTACTCCTAGAATTTTATCTGGAAACAATCTTCACAGCAACATTAAAGTTTCATTTAATGACAATGATTCTTCATTTATCAGGATTCCTCCTTATGTCTACCATTTGTACTGCTACTTGTGATTTGCTTTATTTTCCCACAGCAAAATCACCATTGCTTTTGTACTTGTCAGCATAATAGTCCGAGTCAAAGCTTACAGACAAATCTGGAGGGCTCACGTAAATGTTTCCGTTGTCTACGGTAACTTTATGAATCCTTTGTTTCACTCCTTTTGATAGCCACCGAGGTGTTGGTGATGGTTCCAGAGGGTTTATGGCTTGATACAATCCTTCTCCTGTTTCCAAAGTAATTTTATACTGATGCCAAGGACAAATAATACACGACTGACCATTGATATCCTGAAAACGGAAAAAAAGCAGAGTGAAATAGTGAGCCACTCCATTTTTCACCTTGAGATAAAAAGATGTACAAAGTATCAGCTTAAATAGAGTGACAGGAAATGTTCTTACATAAATGCCTGTTTCTTGCAATGCTATTTTCAGATAAAATTATTCAAAAATGCATTAGATATCAAATGACTATATTTGCATGCATTATTTTTATTACTCTTACATACCTCTATATCTCCAAGATGTAAAGGTCCTCCTGCATCTAAAACACAGTAGAGAATGCCATTAATTTATGTAATAAATTTTACACTTAGTTGTTACAACATCAAGATCACATGCACAAATATCTTACGGTAGCAACGAGCATCCATAGCATAAAATTTCCCTTCATGGTAGAAAACAACAACTTCTCTGCCGTTGACCTTGGTGGTTATTCTTTGGGACTTTTTTATGTCATCTTCTTTACCAACATATACAAGAGTATCATGCTCCATTTCAGCTGTCCCTTTGCTCACGTTGTGCAAATCCTTGTCCTTAAAACACACAAAGGCACTTCATAAATGAATTCATCTTTGGATATCTACATTTAGAATGCATGTCTTCATCACAGAAAAGCCACTATCCATTTAACAAGCAACATGAAAGGAAATAAATCTTCATAAAATCATCAATATGCACATGAAACAAAGCTCAGGAACTTGATAACAAGGTTTAGCCAAAGATTTCATTACCAGAATGGTGACTGGAAATACTGATGGTTGCAGACAGATATCTGAGCCAGAGACAGATAATTTCTAAGTATTTGTTCATTTACACTTTAATCACCATCTCCTTTCAAAATCTATATGCAAACAAATAAGAGGATGCTAAATGTACAATACAGCATTTGCCATAAAGGTAAATAATAATATTTGCATCTAAATCCAGTATTGTTTAAATAATGACTAAATATACAAATGGATATAATTTGATTTAAAAAATATATATATTGGCTGTAAAAGGGAAAAAGATCGTTCAGCAAGAAGCTGTCTCAAATCGGGGTTTTTTAGCAAACATATTCTGCCCTTCCCTTCCTTCCCTGATTTATTTAAATGTCTAATAGGCTCAGCCTTTCAATACGGGGGCATAAACAAGTCTACCTTTTTTATCACAGTCTGTACAAATGTCTTATCTTTGAGACTTTCAATCTGCCTCTCAAATGTGGTTACGCTTAGCTGCTGTGTTCCAGTTACCCTAGAACTCTGGTAGATGCACGGCACACTCGCAGCACAACCCCATTACCATCAGCTCCTCCGGAAATCAGGCTAGAAAAAACATCTTTGCATGCCCCAAGATATGAGAGGAGTTGCAGACAGATATACGCAAGTTGCAAAGAGCTACAGAGAGTAGCGGAGCTTCTTGATCACGCAGCAAGCCACACTCCATACCTGAGATCCATACCAGATCACAAGAGAGATGAGGAAACACATGAGGAAATGGAGGCTCAGAATAACGAGGTCCAGCATAGCGAGGTCCTGCATTGCCTCTCTTCAGCATTGCCACCCCACTAAGGCCTGCTTTGTTCGTGCACGTAGCAGCTTTTATCAAAGCGCTTCTTTACGTAAAAAGCTTTTTTTTTTTTTTTTTTTCTTGCAGAAAACGGGCTAGCCCCAAAAGCATAAGGCAGGCAGCCTTTACGCAAGGCTCAGCACAGCCAGGGTGAACTGTGCCAGGGCTGATAAAGCCGGGAGAGGCCCTGGGGCTGCCCTGATAAGGGGCAGGCCTAGCTCCGAGTTGGATGTACTGCTTTGCTGCTTGCAGGCAACACCGCAGCACTGCCTTCCACCGCACGGGACACGGGCATTGAAAGCCTTGCTTCAAAGCCATTTATTACGTCCCCAGGTGTATTCGTGCCCAACGACTGCATGTTTCTGGCTAGGATGTCATATAAACAACAGCACAGTATTTTCAAGGCCTGCTAGAGTTGAATATGCATAAATCAAATAAATATATAAGTTCAGATTCCTTGCGTTCTAGATAAAGGCACTCTGCCAAATCTTGCCTAGAAAGCAAAATACTTTTCAGACTCAAAAAACTATCCATTAAAACATTCACTTTTTACATTTTTATTTAGAAAATAAGCACCATATGGAGCAGTGTAATCATGAGAACTTTTTACTACCATTTTTATACTATCTATATCTTTAAATTCAGCTATCTACAGTTTTACTACTTTTGACTAACTCTGTATTTAAACTTCCCAGATCAGCCAAAACCTTAAAATACACATGCCACAAAAACATTTTTTGTGAAGACATCAATAAAAAAGATATGTATATAGATATGTAACTTTGTCCTGACCAGTACTGAAATAACAGCACCAAATCCCCTGTTCACGTAGCGCAGACTTGCTACAGGCAGCCTGCATTTGTGTGAGCCTACTCACTGTGCAGCCTCCCTAGGCAGAAGCCTGGCTGAGACTGCTGGTGTTTGTGCACCCCACATTTATGAACAGGAATAGGTAATAACAGCAAATTGCTGCATTTTGCAGGCAGATTGAGATGTGAAAGGCTATCTACCGGAAAATAAGGACAGTTCCAGCCAAACCAAAACAACACCCTGAAGGCAGCATGTACTTGTCAGTGTAGTACCAAATTTCGTGGCAAAAGACTGCCTTCCCTTAGGAAAGAGGAGAAATCAAAAAGACTCGGTAGAATGAAAAGACTGCAAACAGACTGTCCCGTTGGGAGCTATTGGGGACTTCTCACCTATGGAGTGGAAGCACACAAACAAAAAAACAAACAAATAAATAAGTGGTGTGTGTGCAGGGGGTTCAGATGGAAACTGAACGTGCAGGAGGCGGCCCTGGCTCCTTGCCGTCAGCACCTTCCCTGGTTCCCTGGCCGGGCGCGGGGCGGCAGGAGGGCTCACGAGGAGGGCTCACGAGGCCGCGCAGTGACCTGCCCCGGGAGACGCGCTGCCCGCTGCTGGCCGCAGGGCCTAACGCTGGGATGGGAAAGGGTCACCGAGGCTGAAGTCTATTTTGCTCGGCCGTGCCGTTTCCAGGCGCTGAACCGCTGTGCAAACGGGGCACGGGGAGCAGCGCCGCCCGCGCAGGCCTCCCGCATCCCGGACGGATGGTACGGGATGGGGCGGCAGCGCCTGACCCAGCGCCAGGCCGCGCCGGCTTCCCGCGGCCCGGAGCAGCCCGGAACCACCGCGCAGGCCGAACCGGGCCGGGCCGCGGGGCGGGTAACAACGACACAGACCTCAAACACACACCCGCAGCGCGGCCGCACCGCCCGGCCCCGCCCCCGCCGCTCCCCCCACCTACCGCGGCCGCCGCGAGCCGGACTACAGCTCCCGGCGGGCGCCGCGCGCGCAACGGCCGCAACGGCCGCGCAACGGCCGCGCCGCGCGCTCCGCTTCGCGCACGGGACCGTCTCCAGGGGCGGGCGCGGGGCCGCCCCGCTCAGTGCCGCGGCCGCTGAGGCGGAGGCGGCGCCGCTCCGCGCGGGCAGCGCCGTGCGAGCCGCCTGCAGCCGCCGGCGTACGCGGAACGGCCGCGGCGTGGCGAGGGAGCGGCGCTGCAGCGCGCAGCTGCGCCGCGGCGGCCCGCACGGCGAGCCCTGGGCTCGGGACGGGTGGTGGTCAGGGTGCTTTCTGCCGGCCCGCCTTCGTGCTGCCCCAGGTGTGCAGCTGTCCATCCTGTGAAGCACGTGGCTTTAGAACAAGGAATATGTACTTTTTTGTTTTTCCCCGGGTTACCAAAATGCGACTCACCAAGCACAACTTAATTCCCGAATTTAGCAGAACTGATAAAAAAGTTAACTGCTTGAAAGAAGCGTGTAAGAAGCGACATGATTTTCGCAAGCTACTTCGTTTTCAAAACATGGTGAAAGCACAGTTTTAATTCCTGGAATGAACCAAAGTTTGAGCCCTATCCACTAGCTGAATTTAAAACATTTCGATCAAAAAGAAGGCATCCTTCCATCCTCCCGTCCCCATGGCTGAACCGCTAAGTGGTTTCCTAATTAGTTGGGGTTTTTTTTTTCCTAGTAATTTCTCGGAGTTTTCCGTCTCCCGCGTACCCTGAGCCGCTTCCCCGCGCTCCTGCACGGAGGCGCCAGGTGCCCTCTGGTGGAAGCGGGGGCGAAGGAGCACCGGGATGAGGACACGCTCATCCCCAGCAGCCAAGCACTGCTCCTCTCCCGAGCGGGGCTCCCCCAGCTCCTTCTCGTGTGCGAAATCTGCTTGGAGCGCGAGAAAGACCGAAAGGAAAAACGGGAATGCGAGAACGGGCGCTGCCGCGGATGCCCCGCGGGAGCGCGGGCGGGGACGCGCCGGGGGGATGCGCGGCCCCCTCCGCGCGCGCCCCGTGGGGGGCAGCGCCCCTATAAAGGCGCGGGCAGCGCTGCCGCCGCCGAACTTAGCGCCCGGCGCGGGGCTCGCGGCGCCATGGAGGGGCCCTTCGCGCTCGCCAACCTCTCCGTCGAGCCGGGCGGCAGCCGCAACCTGTC